GGTCAGAACAGGGAGGGGGAGGATGAGAAGACTAACCTCAAATTTTTACCAGAATGTTCAAATTAGCTGCGAAAATGCTTCAATCGAAAATGGAAAACTCACCAAAACCTTCAAATTGACAAATTCTTACAAATTGGCACTAAGCAATTCAAAACGGCAATGGAAAATAAGAGACTGAGTGAATGGTTCCACCAAGTATGCTTTGCTCAATCAATTTCAAATTTTATTCCACTGTATCAAGCACATCAAATAATTCAACAATCATTGGCCAAATTAAGTAATAAAACAAAAAAGTAGTAGGAAAAGTGAAAAAAAATGAACGCCTGAAGTGCAAAAGTGTGTGCATGGTTCACCTATGCATTGACTCGCTGAAGTCATCTCACTTCAGCCCTTAAAAGGCCCTACATCCTTGCTTTACCTCGCTGCTTGCCTAGGCGCACTTTTATAACATAATTATTAGTATCGTACAATAAGCGATACGTATCGTACGATATGAAGCGATACGTATCGTACGATATGAAGCGATACGTATCGTACGGTATGTCACGATACACCTGAAAAGCGATACGTATCGTATATCTATATCATTTTTACACTGTATTGTATGATACACGATACGATACGATAAGCCCGATACGTACGATATGTGACGATTCTGTTTTTTTTTAATTTTTTTTGATTTTTTGGGGTTGAAATGATATCGTTTTATCTTAGGACTTATTTTTAAATCACTAGCTAGTAAATTACGTGGTTATGGTCTAAAATAAATAAATAAAGTCTATTATTAATGTTGTTCAATTGAATTCAAAATTCATAATTAATATTAAGGTTGTTCAAGCAATTGATGTTAAAAGTTTAAATTAGAGATATTTGCATTTTGATATTACTGAATTATGTTGGGAACTTGAATAGTTGGTGAAATATTAATGAAATGCTATATTATTATAAGTTTATGACTTTTTTACTATATACATATATTTTATTAATAATTATTTAAAAATTAAAATTGTGTTTATCTTACGATACACGATACATGATACGATACACTATTTTTTAAAAACGATACACCTTCCGATACATGATTTAACAACTATGTTCAACAATACTATCCCAACAATTTGAGGCATAGAAGACATTTCCTACGTTCCTCTCTCTCTCTCTCTCTCCATGCCTTCAAAGTGGCATGCAATCCCAAAAAAACTTGACAGTGGATTGGGTGAGCCTCTCTTCATGACAATGTCTTTCGTGGATTTGCATCTCCCTAGACAACGACGACTGTGGTGAAGACCCAAACTACATACTCTGAACGAGAAATCAAATCCACTAATTGAAAGCAATAAGCTACGGTCCATATGCCCAAGAATGGACATCCACCCTACACTAAGGTCCCCCACTTATTGACAATTTCTCCCGCTTTGAACACTCTTTTGGATGTAGCATTGGTTCATTACCTACCCTTCATCAATAGTCACCCTTCGGTCGTCATTTTCTCTTGCATCCAATTTTCTTAGAAACCAAACAAGCCAATTGAAATCTCATCTCACATAAATTATTTGTTTATGTATATGTGAAAGGGAAAACAACTAAGAGGGAAGAATTGAGTGGGCGAAATTTGGGAACTGACCTGATGTAAATTATATAAAACTTNTCTTTTGGATGTAGCATTGGTTCATTACCTACCCTTCATCAATAGTCACCCTTCGGTTGTCATTTTCTCTTGCATCCAATTTTCTTAGAAACCAAACAAGTCAATTGAAATCTCATCTCACATAAATTATTTGTTTATGTATACGTGAAAGGGAAAACAACTAAGAGGGAAGAATTGAGTGGGCGAAATTTGGGAACTGACCTGATGTAAATTATATAAAACTTATGAGCAAAGGCATAAAACATTCATTTCTCTTAACCAACGAACACTAATAGGGGTTGCTAGTGAATGATACTGAAAGGTTTTTCTTGAATATATATCCGCTTACAAGGGATGTGGATGAAATTTTCCCAAAAATAAAATAATGCTAATCATAACCCCCATGGACTCATATTTTAGATTTGCTACAAAGGTAAGAATCGTGAAATCTAGGACNATACTGAAAGGTTTTTCTTGAATATATATCCGCTTACAAGGGATGTGGATGAAATTTGCCCAAAAATAAAATAATGCTAATCATAACCCCCATGGACTCATATTTTAGATTTGCTACAAAGGTAAGAATCGTGAAATCTAGGACAGTAAAGTGATATGCAATCCCCTGAACAACACATGCAAAACTATTGTTCAAGGTTAGGAAAAGAACAAGGATCAAAATTTTGTTTCAGTGCATTGTTTCAATCACCTAGGAAACAAAAACGTTTCGACGTGTTTTGGAAACGTTTTGACCTACTTCGAAAACAAAATGAAAAAAAAATNCTGAACAACACATGCAAAACTATTGTTCAAGGTTAGGAAAAGAACAAGGATCAAAATTTTGTTTCGGTGCATTGTTTCAATCACCTAGGAAACAAAAACGTTTCGACGTATTTTGAAAACGTTTTGACCTGCTTCGAAAACAAAATGAAAAAAAAACAAAAAATTTAAGAATTATTTTTTCAAAACAGTAGTTGAAATATACCAAAATATTTTAAAATATCTTGAAGTATTCCGAAATAATTGTGCAAATGCATTAAAATATAATAAAATATTTCAAAACATTAAACACCTCGAATNAAACGTTTTGACCTGCTTCGAAAACAAAATGAAAAAAAAACAAAAAATTTAAGAATTATTTTTTCAAAACAGTAGTTGAAATATACCAAAATATTTTAAAATATCTTGAAGTATTCCGAAATAATTGTGTAAATGCATTGAAATATAATAAAATATTTCAAAACATGGAACACCTCGAAGTATTAGAATTTCGATTATATCCATAGTTATCAAATCACGTATTGGAAGACGAATCGTTTTTCAAAAATATTGTATGGTATCATGTATTATGTATCTTAAGATACGCGCAATTTTAATTTTTAAATAATTATTAATAAAAAATATATATATACCTTTGTAAAAAAATCACTCATAACAACATAGCATTTCATTATTAGTCCACCAACTATTCAAATTTCTAACATAGTTCAATAATATCAAAATGCAAAANGTATTGGAAGACGAATCGTTTTTCAAAAATATTGTATGGTATCATGTATTATGTATCATAAGATACGCGCAATTTTAATTTTTAAATAATTATTAATAAAAAATATATATATATACCTTTGTAAAAAAATCAGACTCATAACAACATAGCATTTCATTATTAGTCTACCAACTATTCAAGTTTCTAACATAGTTCAATAATATCAAAATGCAAAAATCTCTAATTCAAGCTTCTAACATCAACTGTTTGAACAACTTTAATATTAATCAAGAATTTTGAATTCAATTGAACAATATTAACAGTAGACTTGATTTTTTTTTTAAATTATACCACTAAAACGACGTCGTTTCACTGACTTGTGATTTAAAAATAAGTCTTAGGGTAAAACGATGTCATTTTAGCTCTAAAAAATAAAAATAAAAATAAAATAAAAAAACAGAATCATCATATATCGTACATATCGGACGTATCATATCGTATCGTATCGTACATCTCGTATCATGTATCGTATGATACGGTACAAAAACGATACAGAGATGTAAAATGTATCGTTTTTCTAATGTATCGTGAAGTATCGTACGATACTAATAATTATGATTTCATTATTGATTCATTTCGGTCTGCTTGAAAACGAAAACGTTTCAGATATTTCGACCATTTTNAACAATATTAACAGTAGACTTGATTTTTTTTTTAAATTATACCACTAAAACGACGTCATTTCACTGACTTGTGATTTAAAAATAAGTCTTAGGGTAAAATGATGTCATTTTAGCTCTAAAAAATAAAAATAAAAATAAAATAAAAAAACAGAATCGTCATATATCGTACATATCGGACGTATCATATCGTATCGTATCGTACATATCGTATCATGTATTGTATGATACGGTACAAAAACGATACAGAGATGTAAAATGTATCGTTTTTCTAATGTATTGTGAAGTATCGTACGATACTAATAATTATGATTTCATTATTGATTCATTTCGGTCTCCTTGAAAACGAAAACGTTTCAGATATTTCGACCATTTTGAAACAATATTTTGATCCTTGGATAGGAATGTGGAAGAACTATAGAATATTTCTCGTGGTTTAATGGGTGACACTACTAAAACTATGGTATATGGTGCAACTCAAAGAAAGAGAAAAACAACTTCATGGTCATTTTCTAAATCTGTAAATAGATTTAGGCAAGTTTACGTTATATGTAGGCATGTGCAAGATTCNTAATGGGTGACACTACTAAAACTATGGTATATGGTGCAACTCAAAGAAAGAGAAAAACAACTTCATGGTGATTTTCTAAATCTGTAAATAGATTTAGGCAAGTTTACGTTATATGTAGGCATGTGCAAGATTTTGTACAATCGAGTATCTACTAACAATAGTTTCCAATGGTTGCCTAAAAAGATTCAACTTCTTCCACGGTCCGTGTTTTGAATTTTCTTTCGGCAAAGTCCAATCATAAAATGAGTTCATATGCTCCATCATATAATTTCAATTGCAGAACACCAATAAAAAGTATTGCCCTTTCTTGGGCCATGCTCCTGTTTTCAAAAAACACCATCCCTGCTCTCTACACTTGTCTCTTTTGAGGGTTCTTATCAGAATTTTAAACATAGAATTGTATGCAATAAAGTTTTCCATACCGATGTCGTGCACAACGNTTCAAAAAACACCATCCCTGCTCTCTACACTTGTCTCTTTTGAGGGTTCTTATCAGAGTTTTAAACATAGAATTGTATGCAATAAAGTTTTCCATACCGATGTCGTGCACAACACATCAAGTGTAGATCTTATCAGGTAACCTTGTATAAACAATCCTGAGCTAATAGGAATTAAAAAGCCACAAACCCACGTCATTTAGAAAGATGATACATACGATGATGGGATAGAGATTCCGTCTTGCTTTAAAAATCTTTGAGCTCCATCAAGACACTCGGGTGACAGCTCATTGTCACCAAATGACCCGAGCAACTCACTTACCTAAAATGAAAATAATGACGAGAGGATATTCAGCAGCAGAAGAAAGCAAAAAGTATGTACCATATTGACAATTAGAATACTGGCCTACCAAGATGTCAGCTTTCTCAGGAGCATCCCAACAACGCATGTCACTAGATACTATGGTAACAATGTTTTCCCAGCCCTCCAGATTAACCAAGCTCTGTTTCAATTAACTTTGTGTTATTTCTAGCACAAAGTATAGTAGACTGCTGCAAAAACATTTATTAAAGAACATCCTAACCCAATTCAGCCAAGTGAACTAAACAGGAAGGGAAGATACAAGTTGAATTACAGAACATTAAAACAGAGGAAAGCATGGATCCAGAAAAGTACAGAAACACAAAACACACATCTAAACTGTTGGGAATTCAGAGGGAAGTAATACATGGTGATAAGACCAAAAAACTTGACTGCAAATAACTCTGGAGTGTTCACACCAGGTAGTGATATTACAAGGCAGATTTACTTGATCTGTCAACACATTACTGCATTCCCAATTTTTCTAAATTCACCAAGGAGAAAAATGGAAAAGAATCTGCTTGTTGCACACGAAAAAACAATCTCAATGAGCATTTCCTTATTTTATCACCTCTCCAAGAAACTCCCCCCTTCATTTGGATGCACTATTAACGCAGCTTCACTTTTGTCATGCTATGAGCAGTTCAATCAACTAAAAATAAACTATTGGTTATTATAGAATCTTCTACCATTCATTCAAATGAAAACGTGACATTAACAAGAAACCAAAACTTCCATTAAGCCACCTTGGGTAAAAATACGTGAGAGTCAAATCAATAATTGGGTCTAAAATCTGGAACATAAGAAACGTTGATGCCCAACAAAGTGTTTAATGGCTGTTACAGTGTTGAAGATGCATCTCATTGGAGATACATAGTAGTTTGAACTAATTTAACAGTCCGAGAATAGCAACTGATATGGTCCACTCCAAGTATTGAGCACCCAAAGGCAGTTGTATGCACAGGCATTAAGTTTGAGACTTTCATAAAGCAAGCGCTCGCATTACATGGTAATTTAGAACAATTCATGCTGGAGTTGATCTCAATACTCTGTATCAATAACCCGGAATTAAAACAAATGTAGCATATGTAAAACAAGAAGGTCATTTACGCATATTTCAACAAAATAAAAAGGAAATGAATAACTTCATTTAAAACTCACATGAAGTGTGACGACTGCATTTGGATTTTTCTCTACAGCATAAACTCTCAATGTGCGTCCCGTTTCTTCAGCAGCCTATTTATGAAACAAAAAACCAAAATAAGAGAAAAGCATTAAATTTTACAAACAAATAGAAAACAGTCTCCTTCAAAGGACATANTCAATGTGCGTCCCGTTTCTTCAGCAGCCTATTTATGAAACAAAAAACCAAAATAAGGGAAAAGCATTAAATTTTACAAACAAATAGAAAACAGTCTCCTTCAAAGGACATAGGGCACAAGCACACAAAAGGTATAAACCCAAGTAGCACGAGCACCTGCATTAAGAAGTTGCACAATGACACAAATTACACACCAATTGGTCATGAGTCGCAAAAAGTGTAGATATGTAGTATACATTTTCACATCCTTAAACATGTGTTACATGGGTTAAAACACATAAATAGCCATGTTAGTCTTTAATTTCCTATCTATCCAATATTTGAAAATTTGGACATTTATGTGTCATGTCAAATCCATCTTCGTGCCGGTCTCCGTGTTTATGCAACATAGGCACAAGTGTAAACCTGAAGTGATGCCCTAACAAGAGGTCCTCGTCCTGCACCCACAACCATTAGTACCTACAATGAACGAAAAAAATGTCATAAATAAACATATTCATCAAACATATGTAAACATATTCATCTAAAATTTGATGTCATAGATGAGTGCACTGCTTACAGCGGTTATCATAGATGTTTTTTCATCCGGAATCCTGTCCAGCAGAGCTTTGCTGATTGCCCTTTGGTACTGCCATTACACGAGTGCAAGAAACCATCAAAAAGGCAAAATATCCATGCTAGCCAACCATCAAAATTAGCAACTGGGTTACCAAACATCAGAAACATGAGAAGCAAGGAAATGTTCAGGTGCAAATAATATTACAAATATAGTTGTTAGCACCTTACGATACATGTTACGATACGCACGATATCTTTCAATATAGGTGTAAAACAATAATTTTTAGTGTAAGGATAAAGTTTACAACATATCATAAAATATACATGATACGTATCATATGATACTATTCCGTATACAATACAATACGCTCCGCGTTGCATAGGTCCAAAAAAGAGAAAGTTACAAAAATTCTATATTTTTTAATTTGTTAACTCATTCAATCATTTTAATATTTTATATAATTTATATCGTCTCTGTGGGGCTTAGATATATTTTGTCAAATAAGAAAACTAAAGGAAAGCATATAGAAAAAAATAAATAAAGGAAAGCAAATAATGGAAAAATATAATGAAGAGGATAAAGATATACAAAAGCTTGAAAAAATAGGAGGAAAAGGCTTGTTTGAATCCAATGATGAAGATATTGATGCCATTGAAACAGCAAATCAAGATGAAAATGCGACTCATAGGACTGTATGAATTGATCGTTTGAATTTTTTTAATCTTTAAATTTTCGTATTGATGAACCTTGCATTGTTAATTTTGTTTGGAAAATTGCAATTTTTTTTAATCTTGTATGGATTTTAAGTTGACATGTTTTTTATCATTTTGGAACTATATATATGTATATTTATATCTATGATACACTATACACTATTTTAAGAAAACCATACACACTAGTATACATGTTTTGACAATCTTGATTATAAAGCTGTTGATTAACATATGCAATTAATATTTCAGTATGAATATCAGACTAGATGGCCCAATACTAAGTTATAGGGTAAACTACACTGAAACCCAAGACTTTTGATGAAACAACAAGGCAACCTTAGGGACACCTTTTTGTAATTTTTACACAAGTCCTTAATGAATAACTATTAATGAAACAAATAGGAGCAAACACGGAATTTAAACTCTAATAATTTTCCAACTGATTTCAGCTTAAAAGGGACCCCTCTTTACAACACACCAAGCTCGGGGGTCTCTAGTCAATTCTGAACTGTTACAGGGTCTCTGTGTACTTTTTTTCAAAACTCCAGGGGTAACAGTGTAATTTAGTCTTTGATCTATTACCTTTCGGAAAACTATATCCAACCTCCATCCACATTACTATACCTGGATGTATTTGGCGGTATCCTTTTCAAATGTTTCATATGTTTGGGCCTCTAGATTATCCATTAGAGGCTGCATTGGGAAAAAATACAACAAAAGAGACAATGTAACTTAGATTAGCATAAAGTCCAATGACCACTCTAAGAAATGAGAAGCTAAGGAATTCTCAAAAAAGAACTTTTTTTAGGCAAGTAAAAAAAAAAAACTTGTGAATTAATTAGAAATAGGCAAACTTACTTGCAAGGGTGACTGCAAGAAATCCCTGTACCCAAGCTGGCATAATAGTGTGGAAAATCAAAAGGAAGGCAATAGCAGAGCAGAACTAGCAAGCCATTTTTTATCATAAAAGAGAGAAGGGAAGCAAGATGGGAAGAGACGGCCACCTCAAAACGTTCTTGCTCAGGAAGGGGATCCATCCTTTGATATAGATAACCAACATAGTCCAAGTATGACCTTAGAGGATGTCTCTGAATACCTGAATAATATGAACACTTCAAAGACATAAATAAACTTGAACACAATCAGACAAATGAGGAATGAAAAGTAGAGGACATGAACCACAACAAATACATTTGTAATCCATTTCAGAAAATTAAAAATAGAGGGGAAAACGGATAGCACATCTTCTAGTTTTAACACTTGCCTAATGTTGAAAAGATGAGGAAAAAATAACAATTGAGACCAGGCTGCCTCTATTCAAAATATTTAAATGCTTGTTAAACACTATTCTGAAAGACACTGCTGTCAAACCAACAATGAGCTAACTTACTATTGGTGTGATCATCAGTATGATTAACGCCTAGCTCCATGCTACCCATGTGAAGATTGTGTGCTGGTTTTCCAGAAATCACTATCTGATGAGGAAAGAAAAGGGAAGAATTTAGAGGGAGAGATTTTGTACATCGGAGAATGACAAGGTTTTATATAGAAAAATATTAAAATTGAAAAGCACCTCTATCTCAGCATTATGATGGAGAAAGATGAGTGTGTATCGCAGAATCAAAAAGGATCAATATGGAATAATCTTAAAATACTTAACCACCTCTACTTCTGCATGATGAACAGTTACCCACTGTGATTTTCAAGTTACTATTGATCACATGAGCCAATTATACATTTAGAAAGAAATAGAGAGAGAGAGAGAGAGAGAGAGAGAGAGAAAGAAGGAAAAGACAAACTAAGACATAACAAAATTTACTATTTACTACTATCACAAGTACCAAAGCGGAAGACCAATAATATGCATGCTATTTCCATGCTTTCCACGGCTGTATTACATCTATTGGCGTACAACTCGACCAAAACAAATGCTCATGATGAAACTATTACCTACTACAATTTTCAAGTTACTATTGATGACATGAGAAAATTATACATTGCAATAAAGAAAGAAATAGAGAGAGACTGAGAAGGAAAAGACAATATAAGAAAGAACAAAAATTACTATTTTTTTTTGGTTTTGATCGTAAACCAAATATGATTATTAATAATAATATATAAAGCATACAAAAGAGGACAAGAAGTCCTCTACTGGTACAAAAAATGAACTACAGTATAAACAGTAATACACATAAAGGTAACACCATCTCATGTCTCTTCGGCACACTTGTGTTCAATGATCTTTTATCAAGAATAGTGGGGTCCCTTCAAGTTCTTTTGAAGTATATGCCCATAGGGATGCCAAGACAATTATAGGTACCTAACCTGAACACCATTATAAGTACCTAAGCTGAACATCAATAATATGTAAGGTATTCCAATACTTTCCACAGCTGTATTATATCTGTGGACTTACAATGGGACCAATACAAATTCTCCAATTCAATTTTATTGCACTCAAATATCCTGGTATAATATGGCTTACATAATGCCTTCAGTAAAAAGAATCATATAAACCACCTGAGTCGACTAAGTAATATATACTCCTCGTCAAATAAAAGAGTCCATTATTCCATTTTTGAGTGTCCAAAAATCATGTCCTCTTTGAAAACTCAAACTTCATATTTTATTATATTTCCTATTATGTCATTTCTGTGTAGTGATGCAAGGGTACATAGCAAGTAAATTTAAAATTTCTGGAAAGTAAAATTGGACATTCAAATCCTATAAGTGGATTGTTATATATATATATATATATATAAAAACACACACACACACACACTAGCAATAACCCGTGTCAAACATTAATCATGCGATACTTATATTTTAAATAAAAATTAATTTTTACTTTAATTTTTTTAATTATGTAATTAAAATTAAAGTGAATAAAGAGAAAATAAGATAGAGGTAGAGGAAAGAAAAGAGAGAGGTAGGTGTAGATTAATGGGGTTATTTGGCATAGAGGAGTGTGTTGATTGAGTTGTCTGACATTGGGGGTTGTTGAGAGAAAATGATTTTTTTGAGCGATAAAATAAATTTGATGATGAATTTTATGTCGTCAGATCAAAATAGATGAAAATTGCATCAATTTTAACTATTGTTGTGCTTTTAGAAGTTGAGAATTCAGCTTTCTAGCTGTAATCTTATATATATATATATAGATGCCCATATATTATATAGTGGGTGCAAGTTTTTCCAGGCCCACAAAGGGAAAAGGACGATATTATACAACCTACGTATACGCAAAAACAATAATCAATGGAAATTTATTTCTCATATGGAATGTCTCTTTAAGAAAAAATTGTTTGAAACATAGACAGAAAAATATATGGCACCTGTACAGAATGGTTCAAAAATCCAATCAACAGCTTTTGGTGACGCTTGGATAGACAAGGGTATCCCCGTGCATTTGTTAGAAAAGTCTGGAAAATCAATTGTAAATCTATGAGCATATTAATCAATGAAGTTGTAACTGGTACTATTCAACTCAAATGGAGGTACACTAATGAAACTATAAGATGCACTTGCCTTAGTATGAATAATGGCTGCTCTAACAGACTCTCCAAACCAACGTCCAAGTGAATTTGTCGAAGGCAGTGAGCACCTAGTGAACAAAGAGATACAGTTAAATACATTTTTAACAGTGTACTTATATTAGTTTTGGTGCAATGATTGGAAAATGTGTGCAACTTAAACACACTTTTTTCCAGCCAAGTGCACCACTTTTTCTCTTTTCCGGTAGGTTCAAGTGCCACTTAAACACTCGTGAATTATCAGAAAGTATCCTATGACAGATCACAAGATCATAAGCACTCACAAAACATCAAGGGCAACAGATAACTGACTATGATGTTCACAAAGAAGACGGAAGGAATTCCACAATTCCCAGGAATCGAATTCTCCTCCATCCTGTAAAGCAAAAGCCATTATTGTGAAGATAAAACAAATAATGAATGTTTATATGTCAAACAATATACCTAAAAATATTGCCAGTTGCTGAAAAGAAGGTTAAAAGAAAACAAAAAACAGAAAAATCTATTGGGTCACTGTGGACCAGTAAAAATTAGAACAAGGTGAGCCACTTAGTTAAAAAAACATAAAATATTCATTGGCTCAATCTTATGGATTGGCCATAAAATAATGGGAAGTTACACAACACCTCCTCACAAGCACATACACTCGCGCACACACACACACACACACACACACACACAGACAACTACCCTCATGCAATGTAACTATGCCAAGAAATGGTAGCATCATAAAAAAACATTTTCATTAACATATGTTGTGACCAAATAAAGCCGCAGGTTTGTTATGTAGCCCATGCACCCCTCCCAACACCCTGGTTTGATCGGGCCAACATGTAAAATTACAATTGAAACAACTTGGCAAAAACTAGAGCTCCATAAGTTGGATAGAAGGCACACAACTCACCATATGATCAGTGCTCCCATTCACAGCATCATCGTCAGACTTCTCTAGTGGAATCCTAAGCCACAACTTAACATGGAAATAAATATTTAGAACAAAATAGCAAGAAGATAAAAAAAACACACAAACAAACTGTTACAAAATATAAAAGAGACCAAATTCGTCATTTTTGTGAATTTGAACCTGCATACTGTTTAGGTTTTGCAAAATCTGATTCACACATCTTGCATAATTAGCACAGGATGCTCCCTTAGGTGCAGGAAGAAGGCATGCCTGCAGAAAATGTAAAATGCGAAATCCATAAGCTTCATATTCAAGAAATTTAACTTGTGTTATTATAGACCAACCGCTACTTTTTTATCACGTGAATCTAAAATCCTACAGCAAGAGTCGAAAAACAGAACAGGTGAACCTTAATAGAATGTTTCATCATAATTGTATGTTTTCCAAGCCAAAGAACAGTCTACCAATTTCTATGGTGTGTCAATTATCCATTGTGGACTGTGTTACAAGTAGAAGCGTCAACTCAACTCAACTTAGCAAATCCTTAATCCAACTATTTTGGGGCGGCCACGTGAATACCATTTATCCATTGTACTTCAAGGGCCATATTTTTCGTTAGCCCGTGAACTATCATATTTTGTTTTACTATTTCATACAAAGTTCTTTTAGGCCTACATCTACCTCTCGCATTACTATTGATATGTATCAAATCACTCTTCTTTATAAGTGTAGTACTAGCTCTTCTATAAATACGTCCAAGTCCCTCAAATCGATTCACTCTTAATTTATCTCCTATGGGTACTACCTTTACAAGTTTACAAATATACTCTTTCCTATTTCTGTCTTTTATCGTTTCATCACACATCCTGTCACATGTATAAGCCACACACCTCAATCTATATTTCCTAATGGACCAGGCTAAGATGTGTTGGGCACAAGTCATGAGTACAAGAGTGTAAGAATGTACAACATAGGCACGATTCAATCATCGAAGTGCCCGTGCTACTTCAGAACACATAATAGAAGAAAGGAGTAGCAGTGTATGGTAAAAATGCTAGAGACAACACTTAGTAAATAACTAAGGATGCCAACAAATGAGGCCATCTGACTCGTGTTTCAAGAACACAAATATGCATGAAGGAGAAAAAAAGTCATTTAGTTTCAATGTTCAAAAGCTATCATTGTCGTAATAGAATGTTTGAATTAGAGCTACCAGAAGCCACTCAACCTCTAGTGCATGGTGGTTTGGATCGCTCATTCTTATTTGAGAATGTTTGAATTAGAGTTACCAAGAGGCAGGTCCAAGTCTTCCTCGTTCGAAGTACCAAAACTCCTCCTTTATCTTCTTCCTACCATCCAACAAATGAGAATGTTTGAATTAGAGTTACCAGAAGTCGCTCAACCTCTAGTGCATGGTGGTTTGGATCGCTCATTCTCATTTGTTGGATGGTAGGAAGAAGATAAAGGAGGAGTTTTGGTACTTTGAACAAGGAAGACTTGGACCTGCCTCTTTATTTGAATCACTGACAGTTCAGGCAGGCCTGCAGGACTAGAATTCTGAAAAGAAGACGGAACCTTACCCCACAACAAGCCTCCCAAACTACGAGACTGCCGCAAAAAAAAAATCCTCTATGACGAGCTATTTTGTTCGAAATCTAGGATGTGATATTCAGCATTACAACAAGTAAGAGATATTTTGTAAAGACGATTGTAGACAGAATACATAATAAAAGAACTCACCTCTCCTGGGGATTTGGTTGAGATCTCAAAAACAATCACCTTAATTCTCAATGGACTAACCAAACATTGTGACAATATAACTAGAAGAATGATCTATGGATTACCAGCAACTTATTTTGAAGTGAGAGATTTTCTGCAATTAGAGATTTTATCGACTAAGCCCCCCATTAATTGGTAATTGGTAATTGGTAGATCCATTGACCCCTTCAAAGGAAAGCCCGTATATGGTAATTTTATCCGATGTGGTATCCACATAATTCCAGACCTAGAAGCAGGTAATAAGTCTCACACCTTCACACTAATAAGGGGAAGATTATGTGCACAAAGCTCAAATTTAACATGGTTATATATACATACATAACCGCAGATGCATGTTCCAGAAAAGTATTCTTTGTACAAAACTAATGCATTTTCCTGCAACCTAGCAATCCAAGAAGCCTACCCCATTGAATGCATCCATAGACAATAGTCTTCGATATTTCATCTCCCATTCCACATACCGGCTTGCTCCACAGTTCAAGTAATGATGATTTTGACCATCATTTATTTTTTTCTTTTCAATACAAAGCTCAAAATCATGCTTCACGGCCACAAAATTATAATCCACATCCACTTATTTATGACATTGTGGCAAAAAAATAAGGCATAACTAGGACAAAATCCAAGTATTACGACCCAAAAATGTTTCAGCAAAATTATACAATTATATACACCTGTAATGAGAGATGAGAAGCCCAAGCTATTTCTTGCTTCAGAGTAATTTCCGAATCCTTCCGAACCTTCTCATCTTCAGAATCCAGGTCAATCCACAAGCTAATTTTCCCTGGATAACATGCCAAAGTCCATCAACTGATAGAGTTGCATGGAACAGCGATTGCAAGAATAAATATTGTTTCCAATCAAATACAACTAACATTAAAAAATCCCAACAAATTTTCATATATAGATACCATGGTAAAGGTATTAGATATATGAAGAACAGACTATTGACTAACGCCATCGAGAAACAATATGTAACCAAGTAAACCATGTTAGTAAGCTCATATCAGCCAGTCAATCAATCACCAACATATCTGGGACACAGACATGTCCCACATGCAACAAACTGTCCAATGTTTTTATTTTTCTACTTTTGAACACTTCCAGACACCTTCTTGGAAGTTAATTTGAAATCCTTTAAAAGTAGCTTTAACTTTTGGCTTGTCTATAGACGGCAACAAGACATAGTGATGTAGGACGGAAAAGACTAGAAATCACAGAATAGAAAGAAAAAGAAGAAAGAAGAGGGTGTCGTAGGGGTTTACCTCATCCTCACAAGAAATTAGTGAAGAAACACACAAATTCTCTACGAAAAATTATTTTTTATTATATCACTCTCTCTAATAAAAATAGTTGGGATTACACCATTATTTATAGGCCAAGTTTCCTATTAAAATAAAAATTATTCTCCTACTAAAATTCTAAAAGAGTTTCATAATCAAACTCTCAAATCCCTATCCTACTAAAATTCTAGAATAATTTCCTAGTTAAACTCTAATTAATACATCTACACAAACAAATACTCATAAATCAAATAATAATACTAAAACTACCAATTACACTTCCCTTTGGACCAAAAATTTCTAATCTTTCGCTTAGACTTCCAAAGTCAATTGTATTAGTCCACCCAACCAATAGTTGTGCCATCAATTGTCCCCTCTGAAAAAAACTAGACTCTGGCGAGTAAGGAGGAGGGTCAAGAATACCATCTGATGGAGAAGTTCTCTGAATCAATAACGAACTCTTTTTTAATTGTAGTGTACGTGCATCAGTAGCACAAGTAAGTGTATACTTCTTTCTTCCAATTGCAAAAGAATAGGTATTAGCTCACCTCGCATGTTGTGCATCACGATCCCATATCCAAGTGTGCCCTAAAAGTATATGACAAAGTTTGAGAAGTAATACATCACACATAACGGTCTCCTCAAGACTTCCAATGGTGAGTGCAGCTGGACATCTCATATCAACTTTCAACTTGGTATGGGTAATCTGTGCTACATGATATGGTTCCGAATATAGTTCAACTTTTAAATTTAGTTTCTTCACGACCTCTTCTGATACCACATTTGTGCAACTTCCCGTGTCAATCGTTAACGAACATATCTGTCCTTCACAATAAACTCTTGTCTAAAATATTTTTTCTCGATGAATAAACTCACCATTAGCAACTTCTTTATTAGCAATAAATAAAGAACATATAGCACTCATAAAATGATCATCATCCAAATCATCAAAATTAACCTCACCTACATCAAGAGGTTCTACAATCTCTATTTCAAATTCTGGTTCATCAAAATCATTATGCACCTTCGAATATTTTTTTTCAACCATAGCAACAAATTTTGAAGGGCATTGAAAAGAGAAATGACCAAAACCATGACAATTAAAACACCTCGTCTCAGAATTAGTACTTTCTTGAGAAAAAAAATTAACACTAGTCCGAGATGATTTATTTGGAGCAAAAATATTCTCTTGGAATTTATTATTGGACTTACCTTGACTTGCATCTATGGCAGTTCTCTGGATCCGGGTTGGAGGTGCCATAGAAAATTTGATACAATATCTCTTTTTCAACTCATCTTTCATCTGATAGGCAACCTGAACTGCATCTTCCATGGTGTAAAGTCTACTTGCAGCTAAACCCGTAGAAATTTGAGAATTAAGTACTTGCTTATACAATCATCACATCCTCAATCCATGAAAACTCTGATCANCTGATAGGCAACCTGAACTGCATCTTCCATGGTGTAAAGTCTACTTGCAGCTAAACCTGTAGAAATTTGAGAATTAAGTACTTGCTTATACAATCATCACATCCTCAATCCATGAAAACTCTGATCGGGCAGCCAAGCTGTAGAACTTTCCTGTGTACTCCTCAACAGACATACTCCCTTGATTCAATTGTGTAAACCGTAGATGAGCTTGTTGTTTATAATTAGCAGGCACAAAGTAGCGAGTCATAACAATCTTCATATCTTCCCATGATCTATTAAAGTGATTTTCTTGGTACTTTTCCCACCAAAGTCTTGTTATACCCTTCAATTTTGATTCTGCAAAGAATACCTTCCTCTCATTGGTCAAACGATGTCANTTCTTGGTACTTTTCCCACCAAAGTCTTGTTATACCCTTCAATTTTGATTCTGCAAAAAATACCTTCCTCTCATCGGTCAAACGATGTCTTCTGAAGATGCTTTCAATGCTATGTAACGAATCAAGGAATATCTCGAGATTAGTATCTCCATAAAAATCTCCAACTTCTAGCTTAACTCCCCTATCAATATTAAACAATCTCAGTTCTTCTTGAACTTGAGCTTGTAGTGGAGANAATCTCCAACTTCTAGCTTAACTCCCCTATCAATATTAAACAATCTCAGTTCTTCTTCACCTTGAGCTTGTGGTGGAGGNCTTCTAGCTTAACTCCCCTATCAATATTAAACAATCTCAGTTCTTCTTGAACTTGAGCTTGTAGTGGAGAGGTTTGTACAAGTACCTGCAGGATTGAGGAATAAAGATGATGGACTATTATCAGCATTTTTCTCAACTCCTTTGCCCTTCTTATCTAACAAATAAGCTTCCATGATCTCCTTTAGTGATGTTATAGACGCCTCTAGTAAATCCATCCTCTCTCATGGCCTTTTGTGAATCAATTTGTGCTTGGGATAAAACCTCCACTTTAGCATTTAATTCGGCATCTTAATGGGTCAAATTGTAATTTTAGCAAGATTTAGGGCCAAACTGAAATTTCAGAAAATTNTTTGTGAATCAATTTGTGCTTGGGATAAAACCTCCACTTTAGCATTTAATTCGGCATTGGAAACCATCTCAATGGGGTCAAATTGTAATTTTAGCAAGATTTAGGGCCAAACTGAAATTTCAGAAAATTGGGGGGTAAAAATTGTAATTTTAGAAAAACTTGGGGCAAAAATGTAATTTCAAAAAATTTGGGGTCAAATCAAAATTTTTGAAGCTTTTGGAGGTGAAAGTGTAATTTATGAAACTTCTGGGGTAAAATCTATAATTTCAGCAAGGTTTGGGGTGTTTGTGTAATTTCAAAAGTGCTGGGGGTTTGGATCTGAAATTTCTGAAATATAGGCTGGGTAAATGTGGGCTCAGGAGACGATATTTTTTGGAATGGGTTACGCTGGGTTGGGCTCCTGATGGGCTCTAACTTGGGTAGAAACTTTAAAGAAATTGGACCAAAGTTTTACCTAAATTTACTCCATCAGCAAAAGTCTTCAGCAAGTCTTCCAGAAGCAGCTGAGTGATACTTTCAATATTCAACTACCACAACAATGCCGAGCAAGAGATAGAGACAGAGATAACAAGAAGTCTGAAGAATCAACGAGACAACAGCCGGCGAGGTGGATAATGCTGATGAATAATGACAAGACAATATCTATGACGGTGACGCAAAAAGATATTGGAGCAGAAAGAAAAAAGATTTGGATCGAGATTTCGCTCTGATACCAAACTGATGTAGGACGAGAATAACTAGAAATTACATAATAGAAAGAAAAGAAGAAAGAGGAGGGTGTGATAGGTGTTTCCCCTCATCCTCGCAAGAAATCAATGAAGATACACACAACTTCTCCACAGAGAATCACTTTTCATTATATCACTCTCTCTCTAATAAAAATAGTTGCGATTGCACCATTATTTATAGCTCAAGTTCCCTACTAAAATAAAAATTATTCTCCTACTAAAATTCTAAAAAAAATTTGTAATCAAACTTTTAGATCTCTATCCTACTAAAACTCTATAATAATTTTCTAGTTAAACTCTAATTAATACTTCTAGTCAAACAAATACTCATAAATCAAATAATAATAATAAAACTACCAATTACACTTCCCTTTGGACCAAAAATTTCTAGTCTTTCTCCTATGCTTCCAAAGTCGATTGTATTGGTCCAACCAATCAATGGCTGCGCCATCACATAGACAGGGTGGCAGACCAACGATTAACTATCAAGGAAGCAGAGGTATGGATGGTCCAACACCAGCAATGCAACCATTTTTTGTTGCAGACAGAAGGCTTCAAGAGAAAGAGGGAGAAGGAGGAGAAGTTGGAGGTGGGCAGGAGCTTTGAAAAGGAGAGAGAAGAGAAAGAGGGAGAGGAGGAGAGAGTGGTTTGGGACATTGGCAGAGGTCATGGGTCCTTTTTATAGTGCAGGGATCAGCCCCATCACCTTGTTTGTTCTCATCCAATTAAGAATAAATCCTTACCCTTTTTTTACAGCCTGTATAGTGTTTATATCCCACTATGCAACAAAAATTCAATTGCAAAACCTATGATGATAAGCCCTGGATGATCTTGCCTAACCCTGTCCTACATCAAGAAAATGATCTCAACCCACTTGTCCATCACTTAGACATCCACAGTTCCCACCCAATTGCAGCAAACTACCACCACAACCATAGTGCAACTACCACGTAATAGCTCCCAATCCCAAAAAGATGATAAAAAAATCAAATTACCCAAGCACTTCCATTAGCTAGCCAACATAACCACCACTAGATGAAGATACACACGCTTCAAATATGCCTTACTCATTGTATGGTCATGCATTCACAGTTAACTTATGCATTCCAAAATTCTCAGAGAAAATGGCTTCTCATTCTCCATATCTACAGCAAGTACATAGCAACAAATAAAAATAGTCCTATATACACACACACACACACACACGCATGCATATATTATGTATATATAATTATTCAGTTTATCAATCATGTAGAGTGTCATAATAGACTACAATTATTATAAGATTTCTACTGGGTTGCAATTTTTTGATTAAACGAGTTATATAAAAAATCATAAAAAAAATTAAAATTTCTCCTATGAATCAAAATAATACACAATCACCATCAGCTTATAGACAAAGCAGAGCAAACACATATAATCACCATGCATGCCATGTTTTATGTATTTGTATGCATCCAAGTGAGTATTGCTGCTTTCTTGTTAATTAAGACGAATTACCCGAATTGATCCCATATCCTGAAAGAGAAAAATGATATTGTAACTCTATGAAGTCTTTTCTTTGGTCATCTTATTTTCTTCTTCTTTTTTCATCTTTTCTTTGATCAGCTATTTCTCTAGTCTTTTTTATGGAGATTAAGATTGAACATTATGATTTTTTGTAGGGCTAGAAGATGATAACGGATCTTTGATTCGTATCACTAAAAGAAATAGGTTTGTAACCTTTTCTTGTAGCTTCAGTTAGAAGTGTGTGCCATGGTAGGGCGGAGGCTCTCAATCAACCATATAGAGGAGATGGAGTTTGTTTGCATTGAAGCGAAATCCAGTCGTTTTGGGAATTTTTTTAGAATTTCCATGTTAATGAATAATGGAAAAAGGGGTCTTATTATTCCTGGGGAATTTGATGGTGAGGGGTGGCATGGTTTTAGGAGTTTGCTTGGTGTCTTTCTTTCTGGCCGAAACAAGGTATGGTGTAAGGAAGTAACAAGCAGGGGCAATACAGTAGATGACAAGAACTCTGATTCTGTTTCAATGATGTTAAAGTGTGATAAAGTGTTCTTGAGAGAAGAGGAGCAATGGAAAAACACTGTGGTTTGGATTAGGGAAAGTATGTGTTCATCCATGGACTGAAATTCAGAGGGCTCTGTCAAAGGCTCTGAATTTTAATGCGAACTTCAATGCTTTTTCAAGACTGATAAGGCTATCTTTTTCTGCCAAAACGGCAAAGAGGTTGAGAATGTTTGTAGGTTTGGGAATTGTGTTCTTGACGGACCAACAAGAGTGAAGATTCAGAGATACTATCAGGAATTGGATAAATTTTGCAGCAGAGCATCTTTCTTGGGTGGCTGGATTGCTATGGAAGGCTTACCGTTTCATTTGTGGCATGTGGAGGTCTTCAGCAGGTTGGGAATTCGTGTGGTGGCTTCGGTGAGGTTAGTAGTCCAACAGTAAAATGCGAAAATTTGTACCAGTCTTCAAGATTAAATCTGGGTCTTCTTTCGTCTCGGAAAGCTAAGTCGTAGTGAACGGGAAAGGTTGTATGGAGGAGGTAGTACCAAAATTCAGTACACCGAACGCGAAGTTGAAGATGAATGGAGGGTGCAACAATGGGTACGTGGCACATGGAATGACGGGTATAAAGGAGTCTAGGAAGCATGGATACGGATATGTGACACGGATACGGATATGTGACACGGGTACGATACGATATGATACAACGATACAACAAAACTTAAAAAAATATATATACGGGTACGGTTAGGATACATCTATAATAAAATATATTTTATATTTTACTGTTATTTAACAACTTAAAAATTATAATTTTCAACGATTCTTTATCAGTAATAAGCAAAATTAGGAATTTCTACACAGAAAAAGATGTAATATCGTCTCAGTATGATATATTCATAAAATGAGCGTGACTAATTAAAGGAATAAGAACTAAATTTAACTAGTTACTTTGTTTACAAGTATTTATTTTCAAGATTATAGTGTAAGTGACTCATTTTTTTAATACTTTCTTGACATGTAATAATAGATAATACTTAAAAAATACTCCTGTCTTCAAAATCATACGAAATTTTGTTGATATTTTATATTGTATGTAAACTCCAAAGAAGAGGATATAGATTAAAATTAAAAATTATATATCTAGTTCATGTTTAGAAATATCCACAAAATATCTACATATTTTCTTAATTATCGGATACAGAAGATACGTATCCAATGACTATCATATCCGATACGGATACGTCAACCTTGGCCAAGTATCTATGCTTTATAAGAGGGAGTAAAGATGCACCTTAGACTTAAAAATTGAAGGCAAGCCCGATGATGCTTTTGGAAAATCGAACAATTAATGCCATTAATTGCTTCAAATCCCATGATTGGGGAAGTCAGATCCTAATTTGAATTTTGTAATCAAGATTAAGGAAAATAAAAGAGAAGTTAAAGGGATGTAAGTGCGACTAGGCCAAAGAAAAAGGGAGAGATGTAGTAATGGGTTGTAAAGGAAAAGGGAATGATTATAAGACGCATTGTGATAAAGGAATAGGGGCCTACTCTTCTGGGTTTGTGGGTGGAGCGCATTTTGATGAGGATAGGCCTCTAAAGGTTGGGTCGTTCCTTGCAAAAGATCCATCATCATTTTGCAAGAAAAAGAGGCCTGTCCAAGTCAAAACTACTGCTAAACAAAACAGGCCTCTTCTAGGGCTTGTTTGAACTCTCAAGACGAATTTCTCTCCCTTGCGAACAAGGAGGAAGGACTTTGAAGATCAAAGGTATCATTCGAGAGGTGCTCAAAATAGTGAAGTATGTACATTACCGAAATTGTGGGTTTGATTCTCATTCCCATTTAAGGTAAAAATAGCATGTGTTTCTTTTATATTTTCATAGGTTTATGGAAATAAATTAAATACAAGAATACTTGGTTTCCATGAATTCCAGTAAACTAGAGTAAAGTATGAGTGACTTTAATTTAGTATAGTGTCAAAAAATGTTAGTTGTACACTCGAAGATTTTCGATAGAATTCTAGTAGAAGAAATATTAGTGGTTAATCTCTCAATTATGAAATTTATGTTATAGAAGTTTTGGGTCGAGTTGATTATGTTGTTTCGTAAAGAGAAGATTATGTTATTTGGCACGAGTAAATAAATTAAATTGAATCAAATGAATAGATTTACGCGATTTAAATAGATTATCTTAATTGATTCGAGTCGTCAAACCCGGAAAAATTTAAATTTTTATTGCAAATAGTAAAATGGTAATTAGGCATTGTGATACGGGTAAAAACCCTTAATTTTTCTAAAACTCGGATGACGAAACAAACTTTACCGTTGAATAGGTAAAAGAATTGGATAATAATGCCAAATTTTTTCATAGAATGGCTAATGGGAATAAAAAGAATAAAATTATTGATAAATTGAACCTTAAGAATGGAGTGATTATTAAGGATGAAACTAATATCAAGTGGGAGATTAGTAGTTTTTTTCTCTAAGCTATATAATGTCAAGGAGGGTTCTAAGCCTAGGATTGAGGGTCTTGATCAGTGTCCTATTGATGAAGGGAAGTCAAGTTGGATGGAAAGACCTTTTGAGATGGAGAAAGTGTAGAAATCCATATTTGAATATAATACAGAGAGAACTCCCAGGCCAGATTGGTTTACTATGGGTAATTTTCAAGATTGTTGAGATGTGAAAAATGATTTGATTAAAGTATTTGAGGAGTTCTTCCAAAAGGGGGTCATTGCAATTACAAATGCACTATCTATATGCTCAATTCCGAAAAAATACACCTCGTTGAAGATGAAAGATTTTAGACCAATTAGTTGGTATTAAGTTTGTATAAGATCTTTGTTAGGTGTTATCCTTAAGAATTAGAATGTTTGGGTGACACTATTGTTGTATATTAGGGTGCTTTTGTGGAAGGGAGACAGATTTTGGATAATGAGGTGATTGAAGAATACTACGCTATAGAAATTGAGGGAATTTTTCAAGGTTGATTTTGAAAAAGCATTTGATTATGTGAATTGTTGTTTATTGGATTTTGTTTTCAATTCTAAGGAATTTGGGATGAAATGGAGAAATGTGTATTCAAGGATGTTGGCGGTCAATGAATTTTTCAGTTGGATTAAATGGTAAACTTAGAGAGAAATTCAAGGCTTCGAGGGCGCTTAGGTAGGGAGATTTTTTATCGCCATTTTTGTTTACTCTTGTGGTGGATGGGTTGAGTAGGCTATTGGTTCAGGCAAAGGAATATAATTTGGTGGAGGGTTTTGTAATTAGGAGGGATAAGATTTCAATGCCACATTTACAATTTGGTGATGACACCATTTTCTTCTCTTTGAGGTGATGAGGAGAAACTCGTGAACATTGAGAAGATAATTGATGTCTTTTAGATCTCAGGGCTTAGAGTTGATATGGAAAAAAGCATAGTTGTGTCAAAGGCAATATTTACACAATTAAAGCCAGCCCATTTACAGCTTTGACAGTTAGGATTATATAGATTTATTCCTTCCTTAATTAGGATATACTAGCTGTATGGTATATTTAGATAGATGTATAAATGGTAGGGGCTGAAGATCAGCTTGCATTTTCTTTCCAAAGATAGCTTGTAAATCGTACATATACTGGGAGATTGTCAATGAAGAAACACAGACTTTTTCAAAAAGACTATAAACTATCATGGTATCATAGCTACAGCTCTAAATTGTCATTTGTCTCTTGCTCTCAAGTTTCTTAGTCTCGGTTATTCTTGTTCAAGTTCTCTTGACCTCATGTCTTCGGATAAGTGATGTTTCTTTGATTCGTTTCAATGGCAAGAATTACTCTGCTTGGGCGTTTCTTTCAGGATTTTCATCACAGGTAAGGAGATGTGGGGACATGTTGATGGAAGTAACCCAACTCCTGACAAAGACAAAGACCAACACGCCAAGTGGGAAGTCAATGACGCACAAGTTATGGCATGGATTTTAAGATCTGTCAAACCCAACATCATCTTGAACCTTCGATCTTCTCAGACTGCAACCGTCGATTCCAGCTTGAACATGAGTTGGCCACTCTTCAACAAGATAGTCTTTCCATCTCTGATTTTTACTCTAGATTCAATAATCTTTGGGCTGAATACACTGATATAATTTATGCTGGCTTACCATCCGAAGGTCTTAGTTCTATTCAATCTGTCCATGAAACTACTCAGAGGGATCAATTTCTAATGAAACTGAGACCTGAATTTGAAGGCGCCAGATCCAATCTTATGAACCGTGAAGCTGTCCCCTCCTTGGATACATGCCTCAATGATCTTCTTCGCAAAGAACAGTGCCTTCCCACTCAAACCACCATGGAACAACATCGTTCTACATCTGTTCCTGTGACCACAAAACAGGGATATAAACACTGTTCAGTGCTTCTGTTGCAAGGGATTTGGTCATTATGTTGCAAACTGTCCACGAAAATTCTACAACTACTGCAAAAAAGATGGCCATATTATCAAGGAATGCCCTACTCGACCACCCAAGAAATTGGAGGCAGCATATACTGTCTCAGTTGGCTCTTCTAGTGCGGGTAATACAACACAAAGTGCTCCTGCTCCAGCTCCTGCTTCTGTCCATCCAACCCATGACCCCTAACATGGTTCAACAAATGATCATTTTTGCATTTTCAGCTTTAGGACTCTCAGGTAAACCCTTCTCTACATCATCTCCTTGGTACTCTGATTCCGGGACTTTCCATCATATGACAAACAGTGCAAATTCTCTTACCAAAATAAACAAATATTTTGGGAATCTCAAAATTTATACTGCTAATGACAATCATTTACCTATCACGACCACTACTGATGTTTCTCCCTCTCTCACTGATGTCTTCGTATCTCCCGGTCTTACCACCAATCTTATGTCTGTCGGTCAGTTGGTTGATAATGATTGTAAAGTAGAAATTTGATCACTAGCTCTGACTTGGAGGGAATCTCTACGGTTCAGACTTTGTTGAATTCTACATTCCACATGAAAGACCTTGGCAAGCTCACCTATTTCTTGGGTTTAGAGATACATCATCAATCTCACGGTCTCTTCTTGCATCAGCACAAGAACAGTCAGGATCTGGTTTAATTAGCCGGTCTCACCGACGCTACTTCGGTTGACACCCCCATGGAACTTAATGTGAAACATCATCGTGACGAAAGGGAGCTTCTTAAAGATCCTATTATCTATCGAAAGTTGGTTGGTAGTCTTATCTATCTAACCATTACCCGACCAGACATCTCTTATGTTGTTCATACTGTCAGCAAATTCATGCAAGCACCGAGACATCTCCATCTCTCTGTAGTCCATCACATCATTCGCTATGTTCTTGGGACACCTAGTCGTGGCTTATTCTTTCCTACCGGTTCTTCACTTCAGCTACAAGCCTATAGTGACGCTGACTAGACCGGTTGCCCAGACACCAGGAAATCTACTATCGGCTGGTGTATGTTTCTTGGTGATGCCCTTATCTCTTGGAAATGCAAGAAACAGGACCACGTCTCCAAATCCTCTACTGGGGCCAAATACCGAGCCATGTCTGTAGCATGCTCCGAGATCATTTGGCTGCGTGGTCTCCTCACAGAGCTTGGTTTCTGTCCCGATCATCCTACACCACTCCATGCTGACAACACTAGTGCCATCCAAATTACCGCCAACCCCGTCTATCACGAACGCACCAAGCACATCGAGGTTGACTGTCACTCAATCAGGGAAGCCTATGATCATCAGGTCATCACTCTTCTACATTTCTCCACTACTTTGCAGATTGTCAATATCTTCACAAAATCCATACCACGTCAGCGCCATCATTTTCTTGTTGGCAAATTGATGCTTGTCGATTTTCCAGCATCAATTTGAGGGAGGATGTCAAAGGAAATATCTACGCAATTAAAGTCAGCCGATTTGCAGCTAATATCTACACATTTAATGGCAGCAGATTTACAGCTTTGACAGTTAGGATTATATAAATTTATTCCTTCTTTAATTAGGATATACTAGTTGTATGGTATATTTAGATAGATGTATATATGGTAGGGGCTGAAGATCAGCTTGTATTTTCTTTCCAAAGATAGCTTGTAAATCGTCTATATAATGGGAGATGGCCAATGAAGAAACGCCGAAAAATCTTAAAAACAGAAAATACTTCGTCTTTGGAATGAAGAAAATAAATCCATGTGAAACGACTAGTCATCAATAAAAGTGACAAAGTATTTATAATTAGCATGCGAAGTGACTGGTACCATACCCCACACATCACTATGTATCAGATCGAAAGTTTTGACTACATGCAGTGTGTGAATAGGAAAGGGCAAAGTTTTATTTTTTCCAAGTCTGCAAGAATTGCAATCAAATTGAACAACACNAACTATATCAGTGTATTCAACCCAAAGATTAGTGAATCTAATGTAAAAATCAGAGATGGAAAGACTATCTTGTTGAAGAGTGGCCAATTCATGTTCAAGCTGGAATCGATGAGCAGTGTTTTGTCAACTGTAGACCTTCTTCAAGTAAGTCCACATCTGAGCTGCAGTCTGAGAAGATCGAAGGTTCAAGATGATGTTGGGTTCGACAGATCCTAAAATCCATGCCATAACTTATGCGTCATTGACTTCCCACTTGGCGTGTTGGTCTTTGTCTTTGTCTTTGTCAGGAGCTGGGTTACTTCCATCAACATGTCCCCACAGCTCCTTATCTATGACG